AAAACACTTACGAAAATACTTATGTGATTAAGATATGAATCACATGCAATTCACGTATGAATTACATATGATGTATATGTGAATTATACGTGATTTAATGTGAATCTCATTTAATTAATATTTGAATTACATGTGATTTACATGTGAATCTCATGTAATTCATATATGAATTACATGTGAATTATATGTGATTTAAAGGTGAATCACATGTAATTCACATATGAATTACATGTAATTCACATATAAATTACATATGTGATTTACATGTGATTTAAATTTAAAGGTGAATCACATGTAATTCACATGTAAATCACATATGAATTACATGTGATTCACATATAAATCATATATGAATTACATGCGTTTCACATGTAAATCACATGTAATTTACATATGAATTACATGTAAATCACATATGAATTACATGTGATTTACATGTGAATCACATGTAATTCATATGTGGTTTACATGTAATTCATATGTGAATTATATGTGATTTACATGTGAATCGCATGTAATTCATATATGATTTACATGTGAATCACATGTAATTCATTATGTGATTTGCATATGCATCACATGTAATTCACATGTAATTCATATGTGTTTCACTTGTGATTTACATGTGAATCACATGTAATTCACATGTAATTTATTTGTAATGCGCATGTGAATCACATGTAATTCATATGTGATTCACTTATTATTTACATGTATTGCAATAATAATGAGAGGTAACTAAGGCAAATTTTGTTGTCGAATATTTTGAAAACATGTCACAAGTTGTAGTAACATAGTCTTTTTTTTTCTTCATGTAAAAATATAAGCCTTTGCAATATGATGGTTGTTTTTTGCAACATTCAAATCCAAATCTAAACTTTTCAACAAAATTAGATGTTTTTTGAACGATTGCATATGGATTTTTTCTTCTTTCATACCAATATATCTCTTCAACTAATTTATACTTCTATTGCTGCAAGTGAGCCCACGCCAAGTTCCCTAATAACCTGATTCAATTCTAAAACATCAAAAAATTAAAACTAAATTTTGAAGATGACTCAAAGAAACAACACTGATTCTTCACATTAAACCTTCAGTTCCATACATCCTTTGAAAAGCACTACTTAGAATCATAACAATTGCATGAATACGGTAAGGCTGGATGAATTCTACATACAAATCCTAGCTACCATTATGTATAAACTTGATTCCACCAAACATATTAAAGGAATAGAATCAAACCAAATCGCTAGTACAGCTTCCTAAAAAGTTTATAATGCTTAAGTTTGTTATTGTGATTTAGCCAAAGTTGAGACTTTGTGATTCATTGTATCCCCTGCAAATTAATCTTTATAGTTGTTGTGGATATTAATATAGTTTTTTATATATTTCAAGTTGCATTCTCTTGCAAGTTGCAATTTTTATTTCCAATCATCTTCCAGTCCAGCCTGCTGTTTTTCAGTTCAATGTCACCAGCATTCAAATGGCAAGTAGTTATCAACAAATGTTAAGCTCCACATATAAAAAAACATCATTTTAAACAAAAACGCTAATAACAAAAAAAAATCAACATATACGATGAGAGAGGCTAAGCATACTGAAAACATTATTGGAATACGGCATCTGGAAGCAGGACTATCGACAAATCAGTATGCTCTCTTTTTCGAAGGAAATGCATGAATAAGCTGCAGCTAACATAAAAAAACGAACCAAACCCCTAAAAACTACACTCCCTAACACACCAGAGGATCATACTAAAAGCAAACAAATCCCGTAGCACAAAACCCTAAGGCAGACAAATCGCACCAAAATGTATCATGAAACACCACGAAATGCTTCATATCCCAAACATGCATAATCAAACGTAACCAAAGCGGCAAAAAATCAGTCTAAAAGCACAATATATATATATAAAAAAAAAAAAAAAAAAAAAAAAAAAAAAAAAAAAAAAACAAACCTCGTCTTCTTCCTCATCGTCTTGCTCCTCACCAGTGGCGTCAACCGCAGGTGTGGCGTTTTCATCTTCATTAGAATCAACAAGTCATGCAACGGCTTCCAGTTCCTCCTCATCTTCTTCCTCCCGGTCATTGACCTACTCCTCCTCTGACGAATTAGACAGAGATTCCTCCATGGAGTCCTTATAGCATTGCTTTTTCTCCGACTGAGGTAAACGGAACCCTAGGAGATCTAAACTTCATGAGTGCGGATTGATACAAATCTAAACTTCTGAATGGCCAGTAGTGGCTCAAGTAAGATGATTAATTCTATATCTCGATGGAATTGTATAGGATCGGAGTCGGTGCCTTTAAAATTGGTCGGAGATGAGAGATCGACGAGGAACAATAACTCCAGATTTGGATGATGTGGCGCTGATTTTAGGGGAAACAGACAAGCTTGATGAGCGAATCATTGGCGATGGAGGTTGAGATAATCGAAACAGTAGATGATCCGGTGTTGGAGAAGAAACTGATGAGGGGAATCATCGAAGAAGAATGTGATTGTGAGGATGAGGACAGATCGTGAGTTTAAGAGATAGAATTTAATTAAAATTGTGTTTCCTATAATACCCTGATCAAATTAATTAAGATACCCATCCTTTCTTTTCTTTCTACTTATTTATTTCTTTCTATTTATTTACAAAAACACCACCTTACATTTCGATCCTTCTTTTTTTTGATCTAATGTTCCAAATTTAGTTATCGGGTTCTCGGGAAAC